TGCTGCCAGCCCTAAACCTGCCACCCCATGGTCCTCAAACATATCAGAGATGGGGCAAAGCCAAATCTTATCTGAGGCTGCAAATCCCTGCAATAGCTTGAGAAAGGAGATGGAGATGCAGCCTGCACTGCCTGATTCTGCCCAGAGCATTAAGGAGGTGGGATTGGTTATTTAGGGGCAGCTGGGTGAGGTTCAGTGCCCTTCATGTCCCAAAAAACTCAGAGGATGAGTTCTGCTGTGGCTTTGTGGGTACCTCTGCAGTCAGTGCACATAGGACAATTTGTGTGTCTGGGAGGAAGAAGTTTTCCCTTGTAGAATTCCCACCCAGAGCCTGCCCTTGTGATGTCCCCCTGTGCTGGGCACTGCTGGGGCCACCTCAAATCCTCTGTCCAGTTCTGGGCCTGTCGATTTGGGAAGGACCTTGAGGGGCTGGAGCGTGTCCAGGACAGGGAACGGAGCTGGGGAAGGGGCTGGAGGTGGCACTGAGTGCTCTGGCTGGGAACAAGGTGGGGATTTGGGACAGGTTGGATTTGATGGTCTGGGAGGTCTTTTCCAACCTCAGTGACCCTGGGATTCTATGATTAGAACTCTGCTTAAAAGCTCCTCCTTTTGTCCCAGGAAGCTGATGGTCTCTGGGGGCAGGTTCTGGACCTCTCTCTTGCTGTTCTGCCCTCATAAGCAGGGCTGGCAGCAAAATCAGCATGGGAGGGCTGGTGCCAGCCTGGTGGCACTGTGGCACCTCGCTGGGAATGGGGACAGTGAAGTGCTCAAAGCAGCAGCAGGGCACAGGGACCAGCAGGATAAAGGCTTCCAAGGGAGGAGAACACAGTGGGGAAACCTTCTTTGGGCTCCTGTCCCACTGCTCAGTCTCTGCACTGGAAGTTCTTCCTCATGTCCAGGTGGAACTTTCTGGGATCAGTTCCTGCCCATTCCTCCTGTCCCATTGCTGGGCCCTGGAGCAGAACCTGGGCCCTGCTCTGAGCCCTCCCTGCACACAGGGCTGGGGTCTGGCCTTGGTAAAACCTTGGGGAAAAACCCCAAAATAAAAGGGAAGTGCAGCATTTCTCCCTGTGCAGGGAGATGGATGGAAACTCTGCTCTCCTGGAGCTCAGCACAGCAGCTGCTGCTGGATTCTGTCCTGGCTTGGATGCAGGTGGAAGCTTCTCCCCCTTGGCTCACCTGGTGCCTCGTCACTCTGCAGCTCCTGGTGCCAAGTGCTTTGTTAAAGTCAGGTTCAGAGCGTGGCTGCACACAGGTTTTGTAGCTGTGTGCCAGATCCTGTCCCCAGGCCGCTGTCCTTCAGTGTGGATCATCTGCTGTGCTGTTGTCCCAGGGAAACTGAGGCAAAGCTGCTTCACTCTCATCTCCTCTCCCAGCCGTGGCAGCTGCAGCTTAAAGAGCTGCTGCCTGATGGACACAGAACTTCCTGGCAGCTCAGATGTTTGAGCAGAACTGACTTTAGTGGTCACCAGGCTGGGGAAGGGATTTGCACCCTCACAGGGAAGAGTTTCTTCCCAATCTCCAATCTAATTCTGCCATCCCTCAGCGTGAAGCCATTCCCCCTTGTCCTATTTATACACATCCCTTCTAAAAGTCCCTTAAAAATCTTTTGTGGGTGTCACTGTTCTCCCCCAGCTGTGATCACCCAAAGGGTCTCCAAAAGGTGCAGGTCAGGAGGTGACTGGTCCAAAAGGTGTGTCCTGAGGGGCTGCTAAGTGAGTGAGGGTCTCTGATGGGCTCCTCTTGCAGCCCTGGGCATGAGCAGGGAGGGTTTTTGGGAAGGAAACTGTGCTGGACTGGAAACTCCTTCTCACTGAGTACAGGAGGGACCTCAGTAAATGCACAAAGGACTCTGCAGAGTGTCCCCAGCCTGCTGCAGTGCTGCCTCTCTGGGAGACACTGTCACCAGCAGTGTCCTGCTGGCATTCCCAGCCTCCGTTCACTCCCGTGCCCCCCTTGGATGGAGCCCTGGCTCTGTGCAGCTGCTCTCCCCCCCTCGGGCTCTCTGCTGTCACCTTCACGCATAAAACATCTCCCTGAGCCCAGATCCTCCTTCCTGGTGGCCCTGTCAAGGGAGCTTCAGGGAGACATAAAAATCCCGGTGTAAATCTCTGGCCTCTCATCCCTGCTAATTTCCCTGTGCCTCCAGAGAGCAGCTCTGCTGCTGTGCCTGCCCTGCCAGGGGATGACATTTGGCTCAGGCTAAATGGCTCTGCCAGGCTTCATCAGCCACCCCTGCCCTGTCCCTGGGGCAGCTGGGACACTCCAGGGTGCCCAGGGTGGAACCAGCCTGTGCCTGGTCCCTCCTCCCATGCCCAGTCCCTTCTCCCGTGCCCAGTCCCTTCTCCCATGCCCAGTCTCTCGTGTGTGGTACAAACCCCGTGGTTTCCTGTGCTCCTTCTCCTCCCTGCCAGGATGGATTCTCTGGGGAAGGGAGGGAAGGGGATCCCTGTGCCATGTCCAGTCTTTCCCTAAACACCTCCAGGGATGGGCACTCCAATGTTTAGTCACCCACTCCATGGGGAAATTCCTGCTGCTGTCCTCCCTGAGCCGTTCCCTCTGCTCCTGTCCCTGTTCCCTGGAGCACAGCCCAACCCCCCGGCTGTCCCCTCCTGTCAGGAGCTGTGCAGAGCCACAAGGTCCCCCCTGAGCCTCCTTTGCTCCAGGCTGAGCCCCTTCCCAGCTCCCTCAGCCTCTCCTGGGGCTCCAGACCCTTCCCAGCTCCGTTCCCTGCCCTGAACATGCTCCAGTTCTTCCTTTGTGAGGCCCAGAACTGGACACAGGCACAGGGGTACAGTAATGTTCTGCAGTCTCCAAAGAGGTTTTATAGAGATGGCTCCAGTTTGGATGAACAAAGAACATTTCAGGGGGTTCTGTACCCCATCTGACAAGGATCCCTTGCCCTCGTAGCTCTGGGGTTGGTGAGAAGGGTCCCTGCCACCGCCAGCTCATTGATTTCTGTGGAGTTCAGCCCCTTCTGAGCCTGGCTCAGGAAGCTGCTCTGTGCCCTGAAGCCTGCCACAGCCACGGTGCCCATGGGAGAGGGGTCCCCTGGAATGGGCAGAGGGCTCAGAACCTGCTCCATCATCCCAGAGAGACCTGGGCAGGATGGAGCATGGGGAGCAGCCCAGCTGGGCTCCGAGTGCCCAGGGAGGGAGGAGATGCCAGCAGGGATGTGTTTGAGGGCCTGGGAAGCTGCAGGAACAGGGGCTGGAGGGGGGAGCAGCCCAGGGGGCTGAATGCTCTGCGGGTGTCCCCACTGGTTTTGCAGTCCTTGTGGCAGCCCTCAGGCACATGGTGACCTTGGGAGCATGTGACAGGTTTGCAGCCAGGTTGCTGTGTGTGGTGGAGATGCTGAGCTGGGCTTTGAGCTGGATTCTCTGTGCTCTGCCAGGGAGGAGCAGCAGTGCTGCCAGGCCAGGGCTGGGATGCAGCCAGCCCACTATTCCTGACAATTTACCCGTTCCTGAGGAGCTGCTGCTTTTAGTCCTTCCCAGGCACAAGCTTTGCTCAGCAGCTTCTCTTCTCAGTGGGGACAGCAGACCTTGCAGGGCAGCTCATCAAAATGATGTACACATGGGAAAAAAACCCCAAACACCTCCTTTCTGAGAGCAGATCTGCAGTGCTGGTGTCCCTGAGGCCTCTGGAGGGATCAGCACTTACAGCTGTCCCCAGGGAGAACTCCTCCATGTTAATTGAAGTTTCTGTGTCAGCTTCTCACAGTGGAAGCTGCGGGGGCAGGGCAGCGATTGCAGATCACCTCCTCTGGCCCCCAAGGTCATCTCTCTGTGTGCTGGTTTAAGTGTGAGTATGTATTTAGTAATTATTCCTCTCCTTAATTGAGTGCTTGTGCTGGGGCAGGCAGCTGGTAACTCAGTGGCTGAATTTCTGGGAGTGCTGTCCATGTTCCCTGGAGGCACCAGGAGCTCTTCCAGTGGCGGAGGCTGGGGCTGTGGGGACAGAGCTGGGGCTGAGCTGAGCCTTTTCCCACACTGGTTGTGTCTGCTGCCAGCACAGTCACTGAGAGGCTGATATCCACGTTCAGCCTGGAGGGGAGAAGGCTGCAGGAGACCTTGGAGCACTTTCCAGTGCCTAAAGGGGCTCCTGTATTAGGGGAAGGTGAAGTGAGGGGGCTGGAGAGGACTTGGGACAAGGGTCAGTGCTGCTGTCCTCCAGCACTGCTCTGACTCCTCTCCAGAGCTGCAGGAGCTGCTCAGTGCCAGGTTCAGCCATCCTGGCCGTGGCTCTGCCCACCTCACCTCCCCTCTCTGCTCCACTCTGCTCCTTCCTGGCTGATGGGAAAGCTTTTCTCTGTGTTTTCTCGGCAGCAGCTTTGCCTTCACTCTGTTGCAGCCAGGAGAGAACAGAAAAATCCCAGCTTTTTATGCAGCTCCATCATTCAGCTGATGGCTGCAGAGGAGCTGGAGATCCTGAAGCCTCCAGAAGTGCAAATCTGTGGGATTCACATTCCCTGAACCTGAGAGGAGCAGTGAGAGAAGCAGAGAAAAGAATGATCAAAACAATTCTTATCTCATTTGCTGCTCCTGTGTTGTGCCACAGTAGAATGCAATATAGAAATGGTTTACCCAAAGTGATGGGGTTTTGTTTCTTTGGCCTTTCAGGGCCAAGTGCTGTTGGTCAGCAGACAGTCATGGGATTCTGGGCAGTTAAGTGCTTGTGCAGATTCAGTTCAGATTAATGTAATATAGCGTAAGATAATATAAAATAATATGGTATATTTATAATATAAATCTTATATAAAATGTATAAAATTATATAATTATATAAAATTATAATATAATATATTTATAATAAAATAATATAATGTAATAATTTATAATATAATATAAAATAGTATAATTAGCCTTCTGATATCCATGGAGCCCTCAACATTTCCTGCCTTCCTCGGGGTTGCCCTGATTTCTGGCACAAAGCTGTGTCTGCCTGGAGCCCAGGTGGCCCTGTGGCCATTAACCCCCTGTCCTTGGCTTGCCTTGCAGGTGCTGAAGGGCTGCAAGAAGCTGAACCTGTCGGTGCACTCGGTGGGGCGCATCCCGGGGGGTTATGTCACCAACCACATCTACACCTGGGTGGACCCCCAGGGCCGCAGCGTGTCCCCCCCCACGGGGCTGCCCCACCACCAGAACAGCTCCCTGCGCAGGGACAGCGAGAAGAGGAGCCACCTGCAGCTCCTGCAGGAGGGGGATGAGAAGAAGGTGAGCAAAAGGGGATCAGACACAGCCCTGGGGGCCTCTTCCCATGCAGGTGCCAGCCCTCTTTGTCCCCCTGGGATTGTCACCTGGGTCATTCTCCGCTGGGCTGGCTCTCCTCTAGCAGCCTGGTTTTCTCCCTTGGGTGTAGCTTTGCCCCCAGGAGCTCTGGAGGATGGGATGGGGTGGCTTTGTTCCTGTTTGGCACAGGGAGAAGCTGGGCTGGAGGGGAGGGATTGCCCAGTCTGGGCTGGCAGGGAAGGTCCTGCCAGGAGCAGCCACCAAAACATGAGTGGGGTTTAAGGCTTTTCCCAGCAGGATGTCAGGACTGACATCCATGTCCAGCCTGGAGACAGGAAAGCTCTGGGGAGAGCTCAGCGCCCCTGCCAGGGCCTAAAGGGGCTCCAGGAGAGCTGGAGAGGGACTGGGGACAAGGATGGAGGGACAGGACACAGGGAATGGCTCCCACTGCCAGAGGGCAGGGATGGATGGGAGATTGGGAATTAGGAATTGTTCCCTGGGAGGGTGGGCAGGCCCTGGCACAGGGTGCCCAGAGCAGCTGTGGCTGCCCCTGGATCCCTGGCAGTGCCCAAGGCCGGGCTGGGAGTAGCCTTGGACAGTGGGAGGTGTCCCTGCCATGGCAGGGCTGGCACTGGAGGGGATTTAAGGTCTCTTCTAATTTGTGTCACCTGTGGAGGGCTGGATCTCAGAGTGCATTCCTGCCTTCTTCCTGCAGTTCAGATCTTTCCTCAGGTGTTCCTTTCCTCAGGTGAGGCTTTCCTGGGTCTCTTGACAGTTCTGTCTTATTAAAAAAATACCCCTCACCAATTCGTCTCTGCAAATACTCTGAAATAAACCAGATTATTTTCCTTTTCTTTTTGGGGAGAGGCAGCCTGAGTGAAAACCCCGGTGAGGGAAAAAGGAGCAGGGGAGGGAATGGCTCCTGTAGTGACACCAGGGCAGCGTGACCAGTGCTGAGCCAGATCCTGGGCCTCTGACAGCAGGAAACCATCAGCACATCGAATTTCCAGCCCTGCTCCCTTGCTGGGAGCTGCCCTCCTTTAAGCAGCCAGTGGTGTAAGGGAAGCCAGCACAGGCTGTTGGAGCTGCAATATTTGATCTCAGGGATTTGATGTCTCCTCTCCCTCACACTTCCCACGGCCAGCCAGGCTGCAGAGGTGTCACTGCGGAGTCACAGTGCTCAGGTGCCCCTGGAGGGAGGGACAGAGAGACAGGGAACCTCATCCTATACAAGCAGGTCGTGCTGTTTCCTCATTGTCCCCCATGGAATATCAGAGTACTGCCCTAGGAGTCAGCACTGCCTTCCCAGAGACACAGTATTGCTTGGAGCCCTGACTGTTTCCATCCTTTTGTCCTGCTATCACTCTGTCTGTGCCCAAAATGTCCTCAGCTCCTGGAAATGCTGTGGAAGGGTCTGTGAGCTTCCCATCTCAGCCAGAGGGAGAGAAAAATCTAATACAGGGTGAGGCAGTTTGCTGATGAAATATTCATGTGGGCCACAAGGGAGAAGGGCCTATTATTTTTATTTTAAGGAGAGGAGAAAAGCAGGCTCTGCTGGCTGGTGTCCCCACCCCCTGCCACCCAGGGTCACCTTGACAGAGCAGCAGCAGCTCTGGGCAGCTGTGGGGAGTTGTTTCTGTGCTGACTCCATGTTCTTAGAAGGCTAATTTATTATTTTATGATGTATATTATATTAAAGAATGCTATGCTAAACTATACTAAAAAATACAGAAAGGATACAGACAGAAGGCTAAAAGATAATAATGAAAAATCCATGACACTCTTCAGAGAGTCCAACACAGCTGGATGGTGACTGGTCATTAAGTAAAAACAATTCACATGAAACCAATCAAACACGCACCTGTGGGTAAACAATCTCCAAACACATTCCAAAGCAGCAAAGCACAGGAGAAGAAAATCAGATAATTATTGTTTTCATTTTTCTCTGAGGCTTCTCAGCTTCCCAGGAGAAGAATCCTGGTGAAGAGATTTTTCCAGAAAATACAACTGTGATGCACATCCTTCCTTCAGTGCTCGCTGGGTGTGGCTGTGAAAGGCTCAGACACCTGGAGCTGTGTCCCCTGTCCCAGCCTCCTGTGGTGCTGGCCACTTGTGAGCCCTGGGAAGATGTGCCAGCCCTGGCTGTGCTCCTGCCCTTCCTGGTGTGTGCACCTGTGCCCAGGTGTGAGGAGTGGCTCTTCCCAAACCTGAGCTTGTGTCCTGCCAGTCCTTGGTGCTGTTCCACACCACCAGGCAGCCCTTTGGCTTCTTCAGGGGATCCCACACTGCTGTGGGCTGGAAAGGACCTTAAAGCTCATCCTGCCATGGCAGGGACACCTCCCACTATCCCAGGCTGCTCCAGCCTTGCCTTGGGCACTGCCAGGGATCCAGGGGCAGCCACAGCTGCTCTGGGCACCCTGTGCCAGGGCCTGCCCACCCTCACAGGGAACAATTCCCAATTCCCAATATCCCATCCAGCCCTGCCCTCTGGCAGTGGGAGCCATTCCCTGTGTCCTGGCACTCCAGGCCCTTGGACAGTCTCTCTCCAGCTTTCCTGTACTGCAGGCCCTGCAGGGCCACACTGAGGTCCCCCCAAACCTTCTCCTCTCCAGGTGAACAATCCCAGCTGTGCCAGCCTTCCCTCCCAGCAGAGCTGCTCCATCCTCTGATCCCCCTGGTGTCTCCTCTGGGTCTCCCCAGCAGATTTCACACTCTGAGCCCAGGACAGGGGTTTGGAGGCCCCTCTGTTAACCCGGGAAGAATCCATGACAACTGCAGGAAATCTTTGAAGCTCTCAGTGATGGAGAGGGAGTGTTCAACCTTCCCCTGGCCTCACTCCCAGTGACATGCCAGCAGGGACATTGGTCACAATTTCAGTGCACAAGGCTTGGCACGCACTTTGCAGCATCTCCACTCCTGATCTCCCGTCTGTAAGAGCAGAAAAAAAAGAAAATTACTGCCTGCTAGCACTCTGAAATGCTCGAGGCTGCCCAGACCCCTCCGTGTCCAGAGGGGCCTTGCTGTGCCAGCTGGTGCTGGCAGCAATTCCCCCTGAGGCAAGGTTGGCAGCGAGCAGAGCTGTGCTGGCAGGGGTTATTGGTGGGAGATTTTTGGTGTGACACACAGGCTGCAGGGCATGGATGGGCTGAGCTTCTGTGCCTTTAATTACTGAGCACCCTGCAGGGGTGGAAACCTGTCCCAGAACAGGGGAACAACCTGCCTCCAGTTTGCTCCCTTTTTATTTGTGTGTGTAGATTTATGGGTAGCTACAGATAAAGAATTAACTGCTGGAAGTGGGGTTATTCTGTTCACAAAAATGTAAATAAATGCAACACATCCCTGGTTAATTCAGCCCAGTCAACCAGAAGTGACAGGCACTGTTTGATTTGTGGGTGGTTTTACATTCTGAGGGGGAATTAGTTGGTTATTTTGTTTTATCCCACTCTCTCCTATTTCCAATCAGTCTGAATGTCCTGGAATGAATGTACCAAAGCTTTCAAGCAGGCTTTGGGGAAGCAGAGCAACTCCAGCCCTGCAGCAGGAGGCTGGAGTGATGTAACCCCACAAGCAAATCCACTGCCCCAGCTCAGCACAGCTGCAACACCTCTGGAGTCAAAGGAACATTCCCAGCCCTGCCAAGGTTCAGTTCAAGGCTGCTGGAGGCAGCTGGCATTCTTCTGTGGCATTCACATTCTCTGGAAAAATCCCTTCGCCCAGGAGTTTTCTCCTGGGAAGCTGAGAGGCCACAGAGAAAAGGAAAACAATTCTTATCTCATTTGCTTCTCCTGTGTTGTGCTCATGTGGAATGTGTTTGCAGATTGTTTACCCACAGCTGATTGTTTCATTGGGTTCTGCTGTGAGTTGTTTTCACTCTTTGGCCAATCAGGGCCAAGCTGTGTCAGGACTCTGGAGAGAGTCACCAGTTTTCATTATTATCTTTTTAGCCTTCTGCAAGTATCCTTTCTGTATTCTTTAGTATACTTTAGTTTAGTATTCTTTAATATAATATAGTATCATAAAATAATAAATTAGCCTTCTGAGAGCATGGAGTCAGATTCATCATTCTCTCCCCTCGTCAGTGGCCTGCATTTACAATATTCTTCAGGCACTGGAATATCCCTGTCTGGCTGCCTCTCGCTCCAGCCCACCTGCATTCCTGGAAGGATGTGTTTGTCACTGAGTTTGAGGCTTGGTTATCCTGAGGCTGAAGGATTTGTTATGCAAAGGCCTGAAATGGAAAGCAGCACTGTGAGCTGTGTGATGGTGGAACTGAGCCTGAGCCATCCAGGATCTGTGGGATCACCCTGGGGGATGAGCTGTGGGACAGGGGGTTGGGCTCTGCCTCCCTCAGGTGCCTTTGGGCAGTGTGCTCCAGCTCCAGAGGCAGCATTCCCAGCCTGGGGCTTTGGCCACATTTCCCTGTGGACACTGGGGCTCCTCCATTCCAGCTGTGGAAGAATCCCCACCAAAGGAATTTGGGGATTGGGATTTGGCAGCTTGTTTGGCTTTCCCCATCCCCTTCCAGGCAGAATCCAGGCTGCCCCAAGCTGGGGTCAGAGGCTGCTCTGGGGGAGCAGAGGGGATGCTGAGATCTGGGCCAGGTTTTCAGTGTAGACCTGAGCTAGGACTGGAGAGGGGAGGTGAGGATGAAGGTTCTACTGCAGGTTCAGCCTGTGGTTGTGCAAGGTGTTAGATATCCTTGTTTCCCATGGTTGTACTGTGTGGGCCAGGCTGTATTTCCCAAATTTAGCATTTTCCTGTTGGAATTGGTGAATGCAGTGTCTCATCAGAGCTCTGTGCCCACAGGGGGAGTCACCAGTGCTCAGGAAGTGTGAAAGGAAGGGCTTGCAATAGTGCAAAGCTCTGGGAAATGCTGCTGGAGCCAGGCCAGACAGAGCAGCAGGTGACAGCCCCCAGCCCCATCCCAGGATGTCACTGCCTGCTGGAAAGCTGGGACCTGCTTCCCATGCTCGCCTTCTGCTCCA